TCAATGTTATGGAATCATGGGAGTTTTAGAAATTCTTTAGCCTTCTCTGTCAAAGAGTTCTGGTGTTTCACCAAATCCAAATCTCAGGATTCCTTAGCATTGAGCCATGCCAGTTGAAGTAGTGTCGAACTGCAATCATTCTACAGTATAGATGCACTTAGTTTCCTGCTAAGCATTCATCATTGATGACTATACATAACCATTTATACATATCTGAGGGTACTGTAGGCTTGCAATTAGTAGTGCTGTGGTAAGTTTTAAGTTCAGGACTTCATCGTAACACTTAGTATAGCAACAGCCTGAGGTGGAATCCAAAAATAGCTATATTGATCTGTATATAAAGAAGTTTCTAGTAAATTGGAGATTTTCAATTCTACAAAGAGTTGGGACTTCATCCTATGGGATGAGTAAAGCATTTGGGATCATTGTTTTTCTCATAAGCCTTGCAAACTCCCGTTTTGAAATTAAGTGGATGATTTTCCTACCCCCATTGCATGGTTTCCCTATTTCCACTTTCTTTTCTAATTATCCGTTTGCCTTCTCATCACATGGGAGACATATTTCTCCTCCCATTGTCTCCTGCCACATTTTTGTTGCATATTACAGTTTCTCTTTATAAGTACAGATCGTTCTCAATTCAAAAGACAAGTCTATTTATTTTACGTTAAAAGGAGAAATAAATTACTGTTATTTCTACCTCTCTTGGATGCTTATGTTCTCCCTGTCTAGCTGGTAGGAAATGACTTTTGGTCTCTGTTTAAAATGGATTTCTGTTTGAGTCCAGATGTCTGGTGCACTGTATCGTAATAGGAGTATATGGTCTTTTGCGTGGTATGCTTCTACAAGCTTTGATACACAATTTTTCAGTACATAGTACTAGTAACTATACCAGCCGTATTTTATGGTGGTACATACTGATTTTCCTTGACACTAAGATTATTCATGCTGACATTGAACAACAGTACTATAATAAAATATAATCATATTGTTGAGAAAAAACCACACACTCCAGATCCATTTGTCCAATTTTCAATTACATGGAAGAGGAGATTATATAATAACATCTGTTGTTCAAATGCCTGTTTGTTGCATTAGAACTTTGGATAAGTATTATTCTTTTGGTCGCTTTCCTCATTTTACACACTATTCATCCTAGTGTGAGCATGCTCACTTTTGATTTTTTAAAATAGTGTCTAATGACTTGACTAATATTTAGTCAAAATGAAGTCCCCAAGGACCCTCTACACTGTTGTATAATGCAGTTTAAAACTAAATTATATGGCCAAGTAGACCCATATATAATGCAGTTTACCTGCATTGAACTGTATTATATTGCAGTGTGGATGGGGCCCAAGAAACCCCATTCAATTGCTTTACCATTTAAATCATTTTATTATAAAATTCTAAACTATTTTCCAACAAAAAGTTAAAAAAAAACTATCTAGAATAGACAATAACACTGAAATAACATGGAGGAAACAGACTACAGTTAGGTCTTGGTATCCACTGGGATTTGGTTCCTGTAGAGATCAAAATCGATGCGTGCTCATTATATATAGTGGCAAAGTAAAATGGTGTCCCTTATATAAAATGGGTTTTATAAAAGCCCTTATATAAAATCAAGGTTTGCTTTTGGAGTTAGTTTAATGCTTTCAAAGAGAGGATGGTTGAATCCATGGATACAATATCCATGATCTGTCTCTCAGATCATTCCAGGCAGAAGAGGTGATTCATGAAAAAATACGACAATGAATTTAATTTTTTTTTTATTTTGGTTGTATAAGGTACTGGCAAATAAGATAAGGACATATTAATGAAAGCATTGTAGCTGGAACAAATTTTAGAGAAAAGACGGTGTTGCCTTTTCTTAAAGATGTTAGCAAGTTATTGGGAAAGCATCCATCTTGAGGTCCGAACGCCTCCGTGCTTTCTAGTTGCCATAGTTACAGTCTTCTACGGGCTCACCTTTCATGTTGGCAAAAAATGAAAAATGAACTCATATCGCTAGAACAATGAGGCTTCCAGTTGTGTATAGGTGCAATAAATATATCTAGCCGACTCATTACAGCTAAGGTTTTCTGCACAGTTCTCTGCAGTTGCCATTGGGACATACCTGTAATTCTACTTGGTTGGCATATTTTACAGCATCTTTGTGAAGAGTAAAAGACCCCAAAAACAAACTGCATAGCAGTTGCTAGAACTACATTATTCTGCCTTTAAAAAAATCCTTTTAGTAGAGAACATCATGCAATTAGCAGTTAATCTTGGGAGTCGAATTTATATTTAGAAGATTTGAAGGGCAGTCTGAGTTGAGAGGAAACGTTGAAATGATTGATCTGTCGGGGAGCATTTTGTTCAAGGAAAAGCCGTCATGTTGCCCAAAACGTCCCAATGATTGCTTGGCACTCCCTTGCTTCTAATCCAGTCAGGAAAGATAAGGATTTCCTTTATCAGAGAGAGATTAATTGCACTAACAATTATAAAAGCATTGGTGAGTCTGTATTGTCAAAGGCTTTCATGGCCGGAATCACTGGGTTGTTGTAGGTTTTCCAGGCTATATGGTCATGTTCTAGAAGCATTCTCTCCTGATGTTTCACCTGTATCTATGGCAGGCATTCTCAGAGGTTCTGAGATCTGTTGGAAACTGGGAAAATTAGGTTTATATATCTGTGGAATGTCCAGGGTGGGAGAAAGAACTCTCATCTGCTTGAGGCAAGTGTAAATGGACAAAATCGGGCTACCAGCATTAAAAAAAAATCTCTGAAATCATAACAGTAAGTAAAGAACAACACTCAAAAACTGGGGAATTTCAGACAAGAAACCATCAAGGCCAACTGATCGCCTCCTGACAAAGGATTCCTCCAGGCAGTGACAAGTCACACGTAAAAACTGTCAGGCCATCAAATGCTAACTGAAGCATTCACACCTAGAACAAGAGTTCTTTCTCCCACCCTGGACATTCCACAGCAACATATATCCAGTTTTCCTAGTTTCCAACAGACCTCACAACCTCTGAGGATGCCTGCCATAGATGCAGGCGAAACGTCAGGAGAGAATGCTTCTGGAACATGGCCATACAGCCCAAAAATCCTACAACAACCTATTGGGGGGGGGTCTCTCTCTCTCTCTCTGAGTTTCATGGTTTCTTTTAATTCGTCATTTCTCCCAGAGAGGTTCTTATTGAAATTTTCACACATCCATGAAATGTGAAAATGGTGGGATGCTATGAAGGATGAAATTCAAATGTGACAACTATTTATGGCACTCTGGAATCCTTGGGAGTGAGAGAATCCTACATAACAACAAGAATTGATGACAGGGTTTATTCTTATTATTTTAAACAACAAGATTAGTTCACAGCAAACAAAATCACTATGCTGCCTGTTGTATCGGATCACACATCAGAATTATTATTATTATTATTATTATTATTATTATTATTATTATTATTTGCTGACACATCCTTTCAGATTGTGAAAGATGTGTAATTGTTACCCAGCTCATGGGCCACAATTCCCCAGAAAGGAATTAGAGCTAGTTTGACACCATAAACTGTTTCCCCCATAAACTCATAACAATGACCCCTTTTCATAAGCCCAGTTTTAGGTGGAAAAAAGTGGAGAGATGGGTGCCAAATACAATTTATCTTCGTTTTGCATCCTGCTGAAAATTATTGAAGTGTCTGCACACTGATATCCATGCATGATGCCCCATCATAATGGCATTCATATAGAGCAGTTCTTCTTAAACTAGCTGAGGCAGAATGGCAGGATTGGCACTGCATTTACCCATTGTTTCTTTCTTTTCTGGAAGCTTACTGTGCAACACAGCAGCCCATGGACCAGCACTTTCAGTACCCTTGATATAGAGGAACTTGCCTAGAAAACTTTACAAAGTAATGCCATCTATGTGACTGCTATTTGATGACCTTTTTAAAAAATACCCTGCATTTTAAAAGTTCCAGACTTGGTTAGATGTGAAGATGAGAAGGCAGTACAGGGAGTTAGTTCAGACCCTCAAAACTCTGTGCCCACTTTCTGAATGCTGGATTACATTGCCTTTGGTCTGATCCTTTCTTTGTTTGACAATGACATCCTTCAGCTCAGACATCAGTAAACTTGTCAGCGAAGGGTGTTCTGTCCACATGGATCAGTCATTTTATGTGTGTTTTGATGTGCAGGGGGATGTGCATACATTAAAGGGTCACTCTGGAGCTTCTCCTAAGCACTGTTCACTGTGGAAACCAAAACCTTTTTTCTCTCTCTAGCAATCCATACAATCCCACTGTGTTGGAGGAGTGATATGCTGCAGAAGGAGCTATTCTGGCTACTTATAAATCCATTTTCTCTCAGTTAGGACAACACTTGAGTGCTTTCTAAGTGTTTCTTGTGGTGGCAATTTTTTACTTGCTTTTATGTTGTTTTCAAATCAAGATTTTAAAAAAGATATTTGGTGTCTTATAATGAGACATATTGCATACCATTTTTATGGGAAGTGAATATAAATTTAATATGCAAATACATTTTCCTGGAGAAGTGATGTCATAAGGGGAATTCTTGCAAACTAGTTACTCTAGAGAAGTATTTTGTTTGTTTTTTAATCTTAAAAACTGGACTGAACTTTTAGCCCAATTTAAGATTAAGATTTTTTTTATAAACTTAAGCTCTGAACTGAACTTGTTATTTGGACTGTCTATATTTCTAATTTGGACTTTCATTAAAATATTAAATTGGAACTTGGATTTTCAAGTTCAGTCCAACACCCACCCCCGGTATCATTTTCCCTCCTGCAAATGCATTTCCATGAATAATAAATATAAATATATGAATTATGAGAGCACGTGGACAATGTGGTCAAAAGCTTCCTGTAGCTATTTTTGTTCTTTCCTTTTGTAAAAGTAGACTCATTTTCTCTATGAGTATTTATTAACAAAGGAAAAAATTGTACTTTGAAAAAACCTGTTGACCACTTCCTTTTCTTTTTACCTTTTATGTCTGCAGCTTTGTTTGCAAGTGCAACTCATCAGAGGCATGTGCTTTAAAAGCAGAAGAGTTGGTGAAGCGCCTTCTGGAATTATTTTCTATTCACCGTTGTAGCAAATGTATGTTCATTTGTAGAAGTGATCCATCAGATAAAAGACATTTGGAAACTGCATCGTATTACTTTAATGCGATGTCTCTGTTTTCATAAACTCTCTATGCTAAACTCCCTACGCTGTTCTACTGCCCAATGAACTTTTGCTCCTGGACTTCCCAAGTATTATTGTAGAACAAAAAGTCATAACATGGCCCTCGTTGTATATGGAGCAGTGAGTTTATTTTTTGGAATGGCATCAGCGCTTGGTCCAGTGCCTCGGATCAACTGGGGACACAAAGGTAAGAGCATAGTTTCAGGTTAAGATGTGTGGCTGTGTATGTGCTTTCAAGTTGACTTATGGGGGCCCCATGATTTTCATACATATGATTTATTTATTTATTTATTTATTTATTTATTTATTTATTTATTTCATCCATTTGTATCCCGTCCTTCTCTCCCCCGGGGGGGGGGGGGAACGGGGACTCTGGGTGGCTTCACAATCGGTTGTCTTGGTCATGGAATAGTCAGAGATCCTTTTGCCAGCAAAAAATGAAAATCATTTTTTCTTGTACTTTGCTGATACCGTGTATGAGACTTGGTGTCAATTAGATAATGCGTTTAGTCTAATTCAGAGTCTTTTGTTTTCTTCTGATAAGCAGCACACTCAGTACTTTTAAAAGTAAGGTTAAAGAGGTTAATAACATAGAACAGTTGAAAAGAATACTGAAATATGTCCTTACTGGAGTTGACAGGAGCTAACTTCGAGCCGTTGTAACAGTTCCATTTGTGCTGACTTATTCTGGGAAAACTTTCTCACTATTAAGATATTGTCACTTGCTAGCTCTGATTTCTAAGATAATGCATAACTGAACATCTGCATATCCAAAGGAAAAACAAGTTTAGCAGAACTATATTGTACAGAACATTCAGTTCTCAAGGGATAACAAACAGAAATTAATCCAAAGTAACTATTGACAAACAGCAGCTCAGTTGAATGTTCTAAAGGTGATCCAGCATTTTCAAAGAGATTGTGAGCTGAATTATTCTTTATCTAGTTTTCTTATTACTTCTTCAGTCACTTATATTTCAGGGAGCAACTCTCTTACTTTCCACTTTTCCATTCAGGTTGCTTCAGGAGTTGCTCTCTATCATTTGCTTGTCTTTTTTGACATGCTGTCCCTGAGTCAGCTGATCATATCTCATGTCTGTCAGCACTATCTATATATTCCTGATAACCCAGCTCTGTTCTCCAATCTCTCCCCTTCAATGCAGTCATATGTTTCCACATGACAATCAACATATCTGCTTGGAACTTCCATTGCTGGCTCAAATATGGAAGATACAAGACTATGCACTTCTTATTTTTCCTACCAAGCCTTCATCTTCTGTTATGTTCCCTGTATAGTTTCATAAGTTTTCACACCCTCTACACTGGCCTCCTTTTTTCTGTCATTTGTCTAGCATAAATACCTTATTCATACCTTTATCTTCTGTTCTACCAGCCTTAGCAACCTAAAGACCTCCTACTCTCCCAAGTCATTTGTGTGAATTGCTCTTCAGTTCTGCTCTTTGGGCTGTGGGAAAAGAATGGTGAAATCTGCCTTCATTGAGAAATTCCTCCTACTGGAAAATTTCTGAAACTCAGCTGCTTGTTTGCAAAACCTATAGTTCTTTTAATTTTAATCCATGCCTAAGTTAAAGGGAAGCTAATTTTAAGGAAATCATACATGTATTAGAGTTCCATTAATAGAGTTTTGTACCGAATTGTATAGTATAAGAAGTCCAACCCAGAATTTTATAGCAAGAGTTTTAGGACTGTTAATGTAGTTTATAGGTGCATTTTCAGATTTTTTTAAAAAAAATTGAGAAAACTTTGAAAATCAATTTACTATTAATCACCATTCTTTTCTTCCCCATTCTTTCCATATTCTTCCTATACTTTTGAGAAATTACTGCCTCTTGCAACTCCTTTGGTTGTTCAAGTTAAATCAGTGGTTCCCAACCTTTTTTTGACGAGGAACCACTTGACAAAGGACCATTCACCAACATTAGTACCAAAAGGGTTACAAATCAGTTTTTGGTCAACTTTAGATTCAGTTTGGGGTGGTGATTTAGAAAACTACATTGGATAGACCACATCAGCTCTAGTTTCTGATACAGAGCATATGCCATGGTTAGAGACGGGGAAGGAGTGGCAGGCAGTTTGAAAGTACTGGAAATAAATAAAATAAAATAAATCAAAGAGGAAAGAGTCTTGTGGACCAGATTTTCGTCCTCACGGCCCACTGGTGGTCCATGGCGCATAGGTTAAGAAGCACTGAGTTAAATGAAAGGCAGTTTAAGAAAATGCACAGAATGGAAGCAAACAAAAGGCGATGTCTTCCATAGGCTGTGTCAGCTAAAGTGAATTAATTTTACAAACCTCATAGAATTAACTTCAGAGGTTAGATCCAGATTTAGATGTGCTTAGCATAGATACCTTGGGATCAATAGGACTAAGCCTCATTAGCTGAATCCCACTACTTTATCCTTTTGCATGAATACTTGTGTTCTCTGCCTCACAATGATCCAATATATTCAGACTAACATTTATAGATGACATAATATTTAGGATGGTCTTAATATGGATAATCCCATATTGTGGCATAGTTGTTCTAGCTCTTTCTGCTATATTGCTACCCCACAATTGTTTTACTTGTACTCAGATGGTGCTCTGTTCGCTCAGTGTGATTAAACTTTTACATTCCTTCCCCTACCTTAGATTACCGTAATTTCTAGTTAGTGGAATATAAGGCTTTTGACAATTAAAAAATGATTGGACAATCCAGAGTGGGAAATGAGAGAACATTTGAATTAACACTTGCTTCAAATTTTTGAATTTTGAATTAAAATATGTTTTTAAATTCTTGTTTTTTGACAGAAGTTCATCTAGTACATTTTCAAGAACCAGAAACTTTTAACTATTCAACCTTGTTGCTAAACGAATACAAAGATATTTTGTACGTAGGAGCTAGAGAAGTCATATTTGCTCTGAATTCATTGAATATTTCTGAAAAAAAGCAAGAGGTAAGTGTGCAGTTTTGTTATTTCTTGCATACACAGCATGGGTGGGGAGACTGGTGGAAGACCTTGTCACAAACCAAAATGCCCACTTTGCTGATACATTTATTTAGGAAATGTCACCACAGGACATTTATATTGCAATCATAGGAGCCCCCAGTAGCACAGTGGGTTAAACCGCTGAGCTGCTCAGCTTGTTGACCGAAGAGTTGCAGGTTCGAATCCGGGGAGTGGTGTGAGCTTCCGCTGTCAGCCCCATCTTCTGCCAGCCTATCAGTTCGAAAACATGCAAATGTGACTAGATCTGACAGCTCCATGCTGTCATGCTGGCCACATGACCTTGGAGGTGTCTACGGACAACGTCAGCTCTTTGGCTTAGAAATGGAGATGAGCACCAACCCCCAGAGTCGAACACAACTGGACTTAATGTCAGGGAAATACCTTTACCTTTACCTTAGGCATTTTTATCAGAGAGAAGACCCACTGAGGTCGATAGTACTTAATTTCCTAATAACCGTGTTTATTTATTTATTTTTTTATTTACTTTGCTTGTATACCGCAGTTTCTCAGCCCGACAGGCGACTCAACGCGGTTTACAACAAGGGTAAAACGTCAATCAAAACAATATACAATTTAAAACAATTAAGAGCATAGTATACAAAATAATGACACATCAATAACAACTCAATAACATCTCGTAACTAGAATCGTGATCCAATTCGTCGTCCATAATTCCGTTCCTGTACTCATCAAATTCATTGCACTGTTTATCCGAATGCCCGTTCAAACAGCCAAGTTTTTAATTTTCTTCGAAACACCATTAGCGAAGGGGCTGATCTCACATCCGTGGGGAGGGTGCTCCACAGCCGAGGGGCCACCACAGAGAAGGCCCTGTCCCTCGTCCCGGCCAGCCGTGCTTGTGAAGCAGGCGGGATCGAGAGCAGGGCCTGGTGGGCAGAGATACATATTTCTAGAGATAATCTATACATGAGATAAAATGGTGGTGAGATTCTATTGGAATCAGCAGTTGCTTATCACAAACCATTTAAAATTTCTTGCAACCTTTTATTTATTATATGAAGTGAAACCAGTAGATTGGTTCATCCTCACTAGTCTAATTGACTATGACCAGCACACAATCACAAAGGTCACTATTGATAGCATTCTTGTTTATTGCTGCTGCTGATGTTGTTGTTGTTGTTCCTGTATTGTGCCTTCAAGTCATTTCCTACTTATGGCAACTCTAATACAGGGTTTCCTTGGCAAGACTTGTTCAGAGAGGATTTGCCATTGCCTTTCTCAGAGGTTGACAAGGGGTTAGGGCCATCTTGCCCAAGACGGCCCAGTAGATTTCCATACCTGAGCAGGCATTCAAACTCTGACTTGCCATAGTCCCAGCCCAATATTCAAACTAATAATTCCCCATGCTGGGTCACTTTTTTTTTAATATTAATGGTTATACATGCTACTAGAAAATACCTTGTGCTATAAAATTGAGCTCATAACATTCAAAACAGACAGAGCCAATCATCATACAACTGTAAGCAAAGATATGTACCATAGCATGTTTTTCTATAACACACAACATGGATAGGAGACTGGTAGAAGACCTTGTCATAAACCCAAATGTCAACTCTGCCCACACATTTATTCAGGAAATGTCATCACAGGACCTAATCACATCACCCACAATATTAGAGTTACTTTCACTTGCCCATCCTCTATTATGATGTATGCCATCCTCAGTCAACAATACCCTTCAGCACTTTGCACTGGGAACACAGGTAATTGCTTGTGCAAGAGAATAAAAATACATAAATCAGGCAAGAGAAAGGGGAATACGTAAAAGCAGTTGCAGAAAGCTTCAGTCATCTTGAGTACTCCCGTCTTTTTGTCCATCTTGGACAAAAAACTGCAAAAAAAAAAAGTTCAAAAGAGAAACAGCAGAACTGGAATATATTAACAAACTCCAGTCCATCAACAATAGGTTGGACAGAAATGGTGGCTTCCTGGCACCTTTTCAGTGGTCTTTTCACCAACAACAATAGAGGAAATACTATATGACTTTCATGGTGTACCAGTTACATTTCTGCTCACTAGATTCTCAAAAAATTGAAGCTTCTTAGTCATAAGGTCAGTCCTACATACAAGAGGTTATATTAGTCTGGTATTTCTAAATATGGAAAGGGACCTGTTGCCATTTGTCATTCATATTTCATTCACAAATCATTCATACAATCACAAAATCAAGGCACCCCCAACAGATTGCCATCTAGCCTTTGTAATAATAATAATAATAACACCAGAAATCTCAGAGGAGGTGGGGTGCCCGTGGAGCCCCTGGGCACCTCTCGTGGAGCCCCAAGCACAGTTAGAGAACCTCTGTATTAAATCTTGCATTTGTTTCAGGGTCTCCTTGGAATCATTATCTGCTTTGCAACCATTGTAGAAATTCAACAAAATAGGAATTCCTGTAATAGATCACACTAAGTAGGAAAAAAATGATGTGAATAAGAGAAAATATATTAGATTGTGTGAAATATTATATCTTGTTTACCTCAATTGTTTACCATTTGTGGTGATGTAATATTAATGGCTGTTAGTGGTGATAATAAAACACTTAATTTTTACTTGTTCTCTCCCCCCCCCCCCCCCCCCGGCTTTCTTTTTTTCCAGGTGTTTTGGAAGGTCACAGAAAACCAGAAAACTAGATGCGCAGAAAAGGGCAAATCCAAGCAGGTAGATAGATAATACCAATTTTTCATCACTTCGACTTTTAGAATAACATTTCAAGTAATATCAGAGAAATAATTAATTTGCCTTGTGACCCTTTAATAAAAAGTTGCAGGTGTTGCTTTTTTTGCCTCCCACTGTTTTTTGTTCTTGCAAGTCATTTTCTGCCCTTTTCTTATGTGTAGCTCTTTTTTGGTATACAGCTCGCCAGCCAGCATGGCCAAGGTTATTTAGGAATTTAAAAATTGAAAAAAGAAAAATTTCCATGATGTGGAATATTTTGTTTATTTATTACCTAGCATTGCTTCTAGGAAATAGTAGTGTTCCCCTGCTGCAGTGCTGATATTAAGAGCCAGCTTTTCCTCTGGCAAACCGCTGCTTCTGTTTGTTGTCTTTACCTGCCATTCATTCTGTTAGCAGTGCTGGTTTTTGTGTCAACTCCTTTGAGATAAATGGGTGGTGAGAGATCAGGTGTTCATTTCACATTTCTGCTACTTTAGACAGATTCAAACAGGCTTTAGGAATAAGATTTTTCCATACTGAAAGTACACAAGTCTCTCTCCAATGATTAGATTCAGTTCTTTAATTGTAGTGCAAATATGGAATTAAGTTTTTGAATAATGGCTCCCTTGACAAATTAACAAGACAATGTTGGGGAAGAAACAAATACTTAATTTGGATATATGGCTTAATTTTAAATTGCTTTTAGGGTCTTCGTTGTAATGTTTACTTATGTTTTAGTTAACTGTTAATGATGTCTTATTGGATTGTTTTGCTTTATTTCTCATCACAATGCTTAATTCTTCATTGTAAGCTCACTGTTATTACTGTGCTTTATTGTGTATTATTTTGATACATTTGTACTCAACCGAGGCATTGAATGCTTCCTTTATTTGTGTGTGTGTAAACCGCCCTGAGTCCCTTTGGGGAGAGATGGCGGTCTAGAAATATATTATATTATACTATATTACATTACATTACATTATATTATTATTATTATTTTTTGGCAGAATCATTGCTGGTTCAGATGCATGATAAATGAGGCAAATCACCACATGTTGTTTGATCTGTGGAAACATTGCCAGAATCTTAAGAAAGTTGCTGGATTGCATTGCTTTCATCATCTGTCATTATCTGAAGTCCAGTTAAAGATTGTGTGGAAAGGTTGTCTCTAAGCTTTCTGAGACTTTCTCCTACTGTGAGGTTAACAAGATTTATATCACTTTAAAAAAGCATCCCAAAAAAGCACACTACTGCAAAAGACATTAGAAATACAATATTAATGGAAAAGGCAACTGTATCAGGAAAAAAATCATGACTGATTTCAGGAGAGTTAACTTCCACATCTGTGCTCAAGCTAAAGTAGCTAATTGAGGTTTTTTTTTTTAAAAAAAACAAACAAAACAAAACATCTTGGATGCAATTTATTAAGATTTTTATTTTCCTACCCTACCCTTTCTTCTATTTTATAGACAGAGTGCCTTAACTATATCCGTGTCTTACAACAACTGAGTGACACTTCACTCTATGTATGTGGAACTAATGCATTTCAGCCGGTCTGTGATCATCTGGTAAGTGTGAGAATGAATTTTCTTTTAAGTGCAATTGCAAAAGCCTTAGAAAATCTCAGTTCTGCAGAGAGTACAAGCACTACATCTTATTTACAATTTTGGGAAAGTTCCCTTTCGTTACAGTAATTCACAGAATCCTTCATCAGCTTTGACACTGAATGAGTCCAGGAGTTGTAGGTTTTTTTTAAAGTAATTTACCTAAACCGTTCATTTTTGTAGGTGTAATTCTCTTTACATAACACGCAAAGCCTAAAGGGATTGGATCCTGTTCAAAGTTGAACAAAGTCAGCTTTGGTTGGAGTGGGAGTGGGAGACCACCAATGAATACCATGTCCAATAATTTAGATTTCATGGGAAGGAACTGACAAAATCTCCTAAATATTTTTTCCTAAGAAAACCCCGTGAAAATCATGGGGTAGCCATAAGTCAACAGGTGGCTTGAATATAGGTGTGCATGCATACAGACACACTCACTTACAAAACCAGTTTAAACCAGCCCTTCTCAACTTTTTCACCCTGAAGGAATCCTTGGAATAATTTTCAGCAATTAGGTGACCCCTACATAAAAAATATTATACCTGCAGATCAAATAAGAGTTTATTTTTTTCAGTCACAATCTGCCATGAAACCCATAGCAAAGTATCATGGATCCTAAGGGTTCCAGGAACCCATGTTTAAGAAACCCTGGTGTAAAATATCATGTATACCTGAAACCCTCTTTTGTGTCTCTTCATAAATGTGGACCTTGTTTCCAGAAGATACCAAATCCATCTGAACAAATTTTACAGGAATTGAAAAACATGCTGAGTATATGCATTCTTTGGCTATAGAATGCAAATTTCCAAGCCGTATACCGAAGTGATTTAATACATTTTGATAGTTTTGATTTGTACATAGTATTCTATTTCTAGCCAGCATTTTGGTGCCATCTATAACCCATGTTTCAATTTTTGGGGATTTGGAAACAAACTCCACAAATGCTCTTGACTCTCTTCTCTGCCTGTCTTCTTTCTGTCAGCTCCTGGATATAGCATAGCTTCATATTGCTGAATACCTCATGAAGTCCTTCTTGTGCTTTAAAAATCACCACACTTCTGTCTACTTTCCATGTCTCTGACTCTATCATCGCTGTCCTTTCCTTGGATCTTAACTCTGTTTCCAACTACAGGGTTCTTGGTGTTAGACTACGACCTTTCTTGTCTCTGTTATCTGTAAGTCTGTCTGTCATCATTTCCACAACATTATCAAAATTTCTCCTTTCCAATGTCCTTGCCACAGCTCAGTACCCTTTTTATATATGAATAACTTCCCAGTTACATTGCTGCAACTTATTCTTTTAATAGCTTTCTACCATGTGGATTTCCTTATCATTCTGCATAACATACCATCTCTCTCTGGTAAGAGAGGATTACGCTGCTTTCAACCACAACAGTGCATTAGCTTGTTCTGGTTTCTTTTTTACAGGAAGATTTTTGGTGTTCAAAATTCTTCATAGTTGCATCTCCCTAAATCTGCAGCCTGATTCAGATTCTCTCAAATTTCTTTTCTTTCTAAGCTAAGATCTGCAAGATCCTTTGTCTGTGCATATATACATTTGGTTTCCACCGTGTAAGACCAGAAAGTGTCTAAACATACTCCCAGAATTAATTGTCCATTACAACTAGAGTAGACCTAGTATATCTACTCTAGTTGGAACTTCAGTGGGTCTAGTCTAATTAATACTAGCAATTAAATTTAGACCATTTAAATCAAACTGGGATTTTACCAGTTCCAAATCACATTTCAGTATCCTGGCTTGTTCCAAGCCTTGGAATCATAGTTTTATGGCTTGGATGAAATTTATTTATTTATTTTGTATCAAAAGCATTGCATAAATTAGTAAAACTGATAAAAGTAGAAGAGCACAAGTGGCTAAAAATCTTTTGACCAAAAATGGGCAACAACAACCGCATTGTCTGTAGCCTCCAAAAATTCTTTCTCTGTTGGATGAAATAAGGAATTATGATTACATACATTATAATTTACAGGTATGACTGATGCACGGCATGAGGGATCTACTTTCACAAGTGAAAATGATGTGTGCTGAGATAGAATCATCCAAACACTTCATTCTTCCTTTTGGGGGCTGCCTTTTCATCTTGAATTTTTGTTGCTGTCACAATTTTTCTTTATAGCTGTCTAATATGTCACGTCTTGTTCCTACCTCAACCTATCTCAATCTTTCCATTTGCTTTCTAAAAATGACTGTGTTCCCACTGTGAATTGACAAATAGAAATCATCGTTTGTTTCCTTTTAATGTATGCCCACCATCCCATGCTTCTCTTTGAGGACATGATGTTTTTAAAATGTTTCCATGTATTTCAATTTGATCTTAATTTTAATTTAAATGTTTATGTTAATTGTATATTGTTGTTAAGACATTGGATTGTTGCCTGTCTGTAAACCGCCTTGAGTCCCTTCAGGGTCGAGAAAGGCAGGATAAAAATATAGTAAATAAATATGATTTCCTTGTGTATTGTTAAATAACAAGACAACAATTGTCTCATTTATTCATATTTTAAAAGACAAAAACATTGTATTATGGGTATATACATTTATCCCAAGACGTTTTTCATATGTTTTGATTTGCTTATGCATGTCACACTGACATGGTTGGCAAAGTGATTTCATTTACAGATATTGGTCAGCAGTGAATGCATAACCATAGTTATAGACCTATGCCGTTCTTCCCTCTCCACATCTATTTACCAGGAAGCAGCCAATGCAGTGGAGCCTCCATTGGTGCAATGGGTTAAACCCTTGTGCCAGCAGGACTGAAGACCGATAGGTCAAAGGTTTGAATCTGGGGAGAGCGTGGAAGAGCTCCCTCTGTCAGCTCTAGCACCCCATGCAGGGACATGAGAGAAGCCTCCCACAAGGAATGTTAAAACATTAAAGCATCCAGGCGTTCCCTGGGTAATGTCCTTGCAGATGGTCAATTCTCTCACTCCAGAAGTGACTTGCAGTTTCTCAAATCGCTTCTGACATGAAAAAAATGCAATTGATAGGGATCCATTGCCCTGTCACATGAGCAGCAGTGGACTGGTTTTTTAAATAAACTTGCAGGCGTTCCCACCGCCTCCTGTAATGAATCCCCATTTCAACAGACAGAAGTGGAACCCCTGTTGCATATTCCCCTCACATCAGATATTGCTCATACAAAGAGCTGGATGGAACATCAGTCAGCTGTTGCCCAAGAGATAGGGAAACAGATCTCTCTTGATCAAAGCACTCTTTCCCAGTAAGTGAAGATTGAGTGAGCGACTTCCATAGTCCCTGTGTGTCCCCTGAAGTAGGGAATATGTAAAGATCATGAATACCAAACATTAGCACAGTATATTTCCTGTTTATACCCCCTTAACTTCCCAGCAGAACTCCACATCATTGTTACACGTGTATCATAGTTATGTATTCTGCACTTCATTCATTGTGAAGCAGTAATTTTGCTTAATTTCCTTTTCTTAAAATTTGCACAGACTTTGAAATCTTCCTCTATACCCTAGTCATTTTTTGTACATTTTCCCATTCCATCCTTATTAGGAACAAAAAAGGATGTAGAGATGTTATTCACAGCCACATTCATCTCATTTCTGATGAAACAGTGGTGTAGAGAACAAGCCTCCATATGTTGTTTCATTATATCTTAAAGTTGCATCTCACCTCCATCAGTTGCTCAAATATGGTTTTAGAAGATGCATCAGAAAATGGGAAGTTAAGATATGGAAAGGTGTTAAGACAATTGTGGTTCTGAAAATAAATGCATGAATTGTATGTTGTATTCCACTGAAAATTAAAACAAGAGTGTATCCAATTGAAGGTGGAGTTAGGATTGAGTCATAGAATTTTGTAGGGAACCAGAAGCTACTATCTTCCAGTGTAACTCTCCTATGTTTTTCTACTGCTTTGTCTCTCCATTTCCACCATTGGAAATTCTGTAAGGAGGTAAAGGAGAATAATTGCAAAATGTTACTGAATTGATGGAAGTGGAATAGGTGCCGTTCAGCTGGACACAGCTTAAGTATTCACAGCTATAGGCCTTTATTGTAACTATTTATGCTTTGGATAGAAAACACAGAATATACTCTAATTGTTTTGTAGAATCTGACATCATTCAAACTTGTGGGCAGAAATGATGATGGTAAAGGAAGATGCCCATTTGATCCTGCACAGAGTTATACATCAGTCATGGTTGGTAAGTATGGTATTTAATGTTGTGTATATGTATTTGTCAAAAATTTGACTAGGAATGACAGGTCCAAAATGATGTAGGTCCATGCTTGGCGTTAACCTTTTAAGTTCCTTTTCTTTTTATGTTCTTTCACAAACTGCCTTCTGAATGTCCCTGGTTTTAGAAAGCCATTTGCTGACTGGTCACAAATGGCACCGCTTCACATGCTGTTTAACTCTGATTTTTTTTACAAGTTTTCCCCACCCCAGGTTTGTGATTATTCTCACATGACCTTTTAAATCTCTATCACTTTGTAGTCCTTTCAGAGGAATGAAATGTTGATGTTGTTTAGCAGCTATTTAAAGTAACATAATTTGGATTAGCATTAAATATTTATAATGTAGGATTTGTTTATCAAAGGAAATTATTTTCCCATTAGATGTTATTGCTAGCATTAAATATGTGTAATGTGGAATTTGTTTATCAAAGGAAATTATTTTCCAATTAAATGTTACTATCAACTTGCATTAGATGCTGCACAAATTAGAGAATAATTTATCTTATAGTCCAAGTAAACTGAAGAGTCAGTGATGGATGATTTAACAAGGATGGAGGAGCAATGTGTGGGTGTTGGGTAGCTGAAAAGGGGGCAGTGTATCAGATGTAGAAATTGTGCAGCTTTGCCCTGTAGATGCTTGCTAGGAGATGTTGGGACCATACATTTAATTTTATGTTTTATGTTTATTTTATGGTATGTTTGTTGATAAGGCATCGAATTGTTGCCTATTGTTGTAAAACCACTCTGAGTCCCCTTCAAGTGATAAGGGCAGGATATAAATACAGTAAATAATAAGAGGAAGAAGAGGAAGAAGAATTATGATAATGAAATGAGTGTATAATACAATATTTGGAAAAGAAATTGCCACTAATTGCTGTATATATTTTTCATTCAATCCTTTGGTTTTGTAAAGATGGGGATCTTTACTCTGGAACATCTTACAACTTCTTGGGAAGTGAACCAATCATATCTCGGAATTCACTGCAGAATCCTCTAAGGACCGAATATGCAATTCCTTGGCTTAATGGTAAGGAAAAAAGATATCTAGAGAGGAAACACCCCAGGAAATAAACATGTGTCAGAATGCCTTGAAATACAGAGTCTGGCTAAGTTCATATTTTAAGTTCTTTTCTGTTTTCTTTTTTTTTTTAAGTTGCTTTCATCCTCTGAATCACTTTCAGTCTTATGATATGAAGCTCCTGATTTGTTTGCAAACATAATGGTGTTTTTTCTTAGCATCCAGTTTGGATGTGAGTGGTCTGGGAACTTTCAAATTGCACTTAGAATAGAAAGGAGACAATATACTTATAGAAGTGTAGGTTTAATTAACTTACCACTTACAGACCCTTTTTGTAAGTCACTACAGTTGTAACACCTTGTAGGGATTGTTCCCAGAAGTTCCTTCAAGGGTTGTTCTGTGTGGGCAGTGTTTTTGTTTATGGAGTTGTTCCTTTATACTTGCAGATTGCACTGTAAATAGAGGAAGTAACAAATCAGAATAATATGTTCCAAATGTCTTTGAATCTTGATCTTTTAGGGTTTAGTATAATATAAACAGTTATTTTGATGTTATAGAACTGCATCCAGCTTTCCTCACCATTGGCTGTGCTGGCTGGAGCTGATAGGAGTTGTTATCCAACAACAGCTGGAGTGCTGCACTTTACCTGTTTAATTTTATGAAGATGTAACCCTGTTCCATGTATTTGTGACAGATTTGTGAAACACATTTCTTAGAAAGTTGTATAATGTCAAGCTTATACTGCTTCCTTTTGTCAGGACTGGAACAATTTCTGTCTCAGAAAACATAAATTCGATAGATAGATAGATAGATAGATAGATAGATAGATAGATAGATAGATTTGTGTCAGGAGCAATTTGAGAAACTGCAAGTTGCTTCTGTTGTGAGAGAATTGACCATCTGTAATGACATTGCCCAGAGGACGCCTGGATGTTTTACCATTGTGTGGGAGGCTTCTCTCAAGTCCCTGCATGAGAAGCTGGAGCTGACAGATGAGAGCTCACTGGATTCAAACTGCCAGCCTTTCAGTCAGCAGTCCTGCTGGCACAAGGATTTAACTCATTGCGCCACCAAGGGTTCCAAAATTAGAACTAAAGTCGGCCTATTAATTCGATAGTAACTTAGTCAGTTGGTATGAAATGTATTCATCAAGTCTGGTCTAAGTATGCATGAAGAGACAGCATAGTCTAATGGTTTTGGGGTTGAACTCGAACCCCAGGAGACAGTCGATCCCCTGTTATCCATGGGAAGCCATGGACAATTCATACTCTCTCAGCCTTAGAAAAAGCCTTAGAATCTCTTGTGAAGGAAGTCCAATGACAGAGTTGTCATTAGTCAGAGTTGGTTTAAAGGCACACAACAACAGCAGCTAAACCACAAGGAGTCACTGACTAGACATATTGATGTGGGGAATGATCAGAATTGAAAGGCAAACACTGAATGATATTGTATTTATCTATTTATTTTTCCATCTACAGAACCACATTTTGTTTTTTCCGATGTTATAAGAGCTGATCCAAACAGTGCCAGTGAGGAGGATGACAAAGTGTATTTCTTTTTCACTGAGGTCTCAGTGGAATATGAATTTCTTGGCAAGCTGATGATTCCAAGGATAGCAAGAGTTTGTAAGGTAGGACTGTGTTCCACCACTTTTCCTGATCAGTGGGAGATACATTCATAGGAGCACTGTGAGGAAAAGCAGTCTACTCTTTTTCCGCTTACACCAGGATTTCTGTGTGCAATACTGCCTGTATTGTACATGATTTCCTCTGCATATTGAGGATATATCTGTCAACTTCCCAGAAATGTTGAAACCATAGGGAAAAACTGGTGTACTTTTTTTCCCAGAAAAAAATTGAAATTTTCAAAAATTGAGAAATGTAATATTACAGAAAGGAAGTCACTTAGCTCTACCTTAGGAACATAACATTACTTGGTTTGCATTTATTTAGGAAACAGAATTTTAATTTTATTTATATAATTCTTATTTTTGCTACAAATTGAGTTACAAATTCTGGAATATGAAATGCCTGAACGATAAGGAATCTCTTTGGTTTTGCTCATAGAGTGTTATAATCCATTTCTTAAAATGAATGAATGAAAGGAAGGAAACTAGGGAGTATGACTTGTCAAAGGCTTTCATGGCCGGAATCACTGGGTTGTTGTGAATTTTCCGGGCTATATGGACATGTTCCACAAGCATTCTCCCCTGACATTTCGCCCACATCTATCGCAGGCATCCTCAGAGGTTGTGAGGTTGACCCCCCAACCTCTGAAGATGCTTCTGGAACATGGCCACACAGCAATCCAAAAGTAGGGACTTCTAAACTATGGACTTGTTAATATTCTTCCACTTCATAAGTGACTAATAAAATGTCTGTTGAATTCCAGCCATAGTAATTTCAAGAGAAGCAGGATACGGTGACTGTTGAGACTATGCCCAACACATTTCTAAGGGATACCAGACAAAGCTAGCTGTTTTCTCACACCAATAAAATTTCTTGTTTGACTGCGATGTGACAGGTGGCGCTTCGCTGCCGAGTTGCCATAGCCTGGAAAAAAAATTAATGGAACCAATCTGATTCTGTCAGTCTTCATGTGCATTAAACATCCTTGTAGTTCCCTTTGTCGTTGGGAAATGAGGTTACATTTTTCATAAATATTCTAACAAGCATCTTGTCATTCAATTTTGTAATGCATCTTGTGGATAGAAGCCGACTAAGATTTCAAGGGCCTGGTTTTAAATTGCAAAGTGTAGTTCAACTACAGGAACTGACAGAGTCTGCTAGATTCATGATATCCCAGCTCTTTGGAATTAATTTGCTTTGACACACAAGAATGGTGGTCTTCTGACTGCTAGCAGTTAAGACGTTGGCCAGACTGACTATGGGATTCAGGGACTCATAGCCCCCAAAAGTAACTTTTCCAAGCTTTCTTTTAAACTGACAGATAAACTGCTGGATCTTTCACTTTTATGCTTTGTGTGTGTGTGTGTGTGTGTGTGTGTGTGTGTGTGTGTGTGTGTGTGTGTTGGAAGGGCTGTGAGTATGTTTTTTGGCCAGCTAAGAGGAAAAAAATGCTTACTCTAACATTGAAACTATCTGACTGAAAAATAACATTTCAGCTACCTTAAATGTATTTTGTGTTACGACGTTCACTTTTCGAAAAATGTCAACACAGCAAATGTTGGAGAGCTGGGATATTTTTGAACTCTTTACAGTAGCTGCACAATTAATTCTTTCAAGGCTAAGCTGGTTTCTTGTCAAGAGGCTTCCATTTTTGGCAAGACGAAAGTCTTTCTGCTACATTTGCTGCTTGGGAGCCAAAAGCACAGCTGCTTCCTGCTTCAGTTTGGAAAAGTTGCCGTTTATGAACGACAACTAGAAATTCCTGAAGGTTGTAGTCCACAAAAAATAATCCCCTGAATAGTAAATTATCAGAAATTTCAAGGAGTTGTAGTCCGCAAAGTAACTGTTCCCTCTTCTCCTTCTGGCGTTACACCATAGGCTTCTTCCATGTTTGTCATTGTTTCCCAAACCTTCTCTTGGTACAGTTACAGGGAATATTAATATTGTCATGGAAAGGAACCCAAGTAGTTGTTTCTGTCACAAGCCAGGATCCTATTCACACAGCACAGTTTCAGCACTCGGTCCACTTCAATTGCCATGGCATTGTTTAGATAGATAGATAGATAGATAGATAGATAGATAGATAGATAGATAGATAGATAGACAGATAGATAAGTAATAAAGAAACTGGCTGTTTGCAGTGTTGTTTCTTTGTCAAGATGAACTTCTTGTATATGCATGTTCTCTAGATACCATGCAACCATGGTTCTTGTAGCAATAGTCAACAGATTCAGGCAAATAAACCTATGCAGATCTTCTGAAAAAGGCTGGTCTTGGAGTTGTTGTTGCAGATCAAGGATGGGGAAAGTACAGACAACATGCAGCTCTTTTTTTTTTTTTGATAGCTCATGAAGTCCTACAGGACACACCTGCCCCAAGTCCTTTATACAAAACCTGCTTGAAACCCACCTCAAACCACAGTAATTAACTGTGTGCTAGGAAGGTGTAGATTCAAACCATTCTGGAGGCACAGAGCTGAAAATTGGCTCCCACCACATAGTACAGTTGCTCACTCCATTTTATATATTACTTGACTAATTCCCAGGGTTGTCAGAAAGAGATGTTGAGGCCTCCTGCTGCTTGTCACAAGTGCCTACTCGATAGACTATAAAATCGAGACAGAATTTTATTCCATTTTATAATTCATAGGTTCCTGTTCTTCAGTATGTATCTCTACTGTTAGATATACATGCAAGGTATGAGAAACTACTGCTTAATTTTATCAGGGTACTGTGTTTTGTTTTTTACCTTTTACCTTCCCGTGTTGGGATCCGTTTGGTTCCTAGTGCACAGTGAAATTTCTGTCAAATTTTGGCTCCTGATATGATGATGTACATGCTAAAGATAACCACATTGCATCTTGATATATGGATTCTTTTCCTTTACATCATGTTTTAAAAACCTATTGTGATTCTTCATGTTGACCCCCCCCTCCCCTGCTGCCTTTCTTTTAAAGGGGGACCAAGGAGGACACAGAACTTTGCAAAAGAAATGGACTTCATATCTCAAGGCGAGATTGCTTTGTTCTATGCCAGAGAAAAACTTATTTTTCAACATTGTCAATGATGTCTTTATCCTTAAGACACCCAGCTTGAAGGAGCCAGTGATTTATGGTGTTTTTACTCCACAGTTGTAAGTAACATTTTTACATTTTGAAGAAGTATTTGCTTAACTCCACTGCATGCTAATACAGCTGTTAAGTGTAAAACGGTAGTATGTTAACATTGATTTCTTTGGTGTTTTTTAAAGGAACAATGTGGGCCTTTCAGCAGTGTGTGCCTATAACATCTCTACAGTGGAGGATGTTTTCACCAAAGGGAAGTACATGCAGAGCACCACAGTTGAACAGTCCCACACAAAATGGCTACGGTACAACGGAGAGATTCCAAAACCAAGACCTGGTGCAGTAAGTCTGGATAAACTAAAAGATTATGATTATTCTTGTAGTATAGGGCATTATTCAGGGTCCATCCAGACAGGCCTTAAAACTGTCTCCGTTTTACCGGAGGCGTCCAAATGATGTCTAGTAATACTGCATTAATTCAGAACAAACCAGGGTTTCCCTGTTTCATTCCAAATTAATTAAACACCTGGTAAGATCCGGATGTTAGGTAAGATCCGGGCCTTACCAGGTGTGGGCCCAGTGTGAATTGGGTCCAGGGACTGTGTCACACAATCCCTGGATCCAATCCACACAGCCATCTTGGTTTTTCAGGCTCCCTTCTCCAAAACCCCAAAAGAATCCCTTAAAGGTTTTAAAAACATATCTGACTGCCATTATGGTCCTCCTTGTATCCTCCAAGCATGAGGAAATGACACACCAGGAGATGGGGGTAGGACGAGGAGCCTCCCCTCCCCCCCCCCCCCCCCCGGCACCCTCCAGTCTCCTGGCACGTAATTTCCTCACACCAGGTGGGTGTGAGAAGAAGCATAATGGCAGCTGAGTAAGTTTTAAAAACTTTTTAGGGGTTCTTTTGGGGGGCTTTGGGGTAGCTGCATACCATCCCAGTTGTTATTGGCCCGGCATATAGACACCACTCGGGAAATTCCAGATTTTTGGGGTGTGTGGGCTTAAACCTGCGTCTAATTGGGTTTTTAAAATCTGCTTTGGTACATGTTTAAGTCATGTGGAAGTGACCTCAGAGTCTTTTCCCCACTGGATAGGAGTTTGTGTGAAGCTTTAACTCTTTATTGGCACTATCCTGATTGCTGAAGGTTTCAGCCATAAGACGTGTGGGGGGGAGGGGGGATGTCAAGCACACAATGGAGGTTCTTTTGGGCAGATATCTCTCTTTTAAACTTACTTTGATCACACTTCTTAGAAGTAATAATTAAAACACAACAAGGTTAATAGCTCAAAGAAGTTTGTGAGATCTTGGGAGAGAGTTTTTAATGTACCCTTCAGAAAAAGAAGGAAAATTGGTCTTTTTTTCATCCCTGATATAAAAGGAGGGGAAACAAGTGTCATCTTGGCTATTCACTGCTCCGTTTGAGAAATGGAGGAAAATAATGAGCTAAAACAAAGGTTTCCGACAGGTTCCAAATACATTACTTTGATTGCATTCTTCAGTCACTGTAATTTGCAAGTGCTGACTTGGGGTAGGATCACTGGTTAAGAGACCTTGGAGTGCTCAGTTTTCCTTTTGAGGAATGTCTGATTTATACAGTTCTTCTGGAGTCTGTATGTAGATCTTTCTTCAAGATCAAAATACAGCCTCTTTTCCAAGCTGTGGCTTGTGCCATTCAACTTTTAGGAGTATTTTGTGCATACTATGCCAATCTTCTTGTAAGAGGTGAAAAAGAAATAGCAGATCCAGGAAGGGCAGTGACTGAAGTCACCATAAGCCAGTGCTCTTGCAGGGTTTTCCCATACTATCTTTTGTTCCTCAGTTACATCCCTTCCAATTTAGCCTTGAAAGCCTTTTATATGCACAGCCCTAGGAGGCTAATTGGTTGTTTCATTATTTAAGAGACCCAGTTTAGGGACAGATGCAAATGTTTTGCCTGTGCCTGTATTTAGATGTTGCTGTACAGCATGATGACTTCTGGGATCTAAACCTGTGTGTTGCATGTCCACAAATGTAGATGATGTGTATAACAATTTGGGGCTCTTAAAATCTTGGAGCCAGGTTATCTGAAAGACTGTTTTTCATGTTTTTGGACTGCAACTCCCAGTATCCCTCATCATTGGCTGTGCTGGGTCAGGGTGGTGGTGCTTGTAGTACAATATCTGAAATGTGACCTTGGAAGAAAGCAAGTAGACTTAGAAATATTGTTTGGAGGAAAATGTTATGTTTGAAATCTAAGATACTTTTTAATTGGGCCCCATTGTATAATTTATGGGTTTATTTTCTTCTTTTAAGATATTACTGCATTTGGAGTTTTAAAATGTTTCAAAATTAAAAGTTGATATGAGACCGCAGCCATAAGACTTAGGTCAATTGTATTCCACCTGGGAAAATCCCGATTTGTATAATGTTGCTAAATCTGAGTGTCATTTCATATAATCGGAAAATATTTGAAACAAGCATTAGAAACCCCAAGGGCAACAATATACAGGCAGATCCCAAATTACGAAGAAGATAGGTAGGTTTGTTTTTAAGTTGAATTTGCTTGTAAATTGGAACAGGTACATTTTTAAGGTTTGGATGGTATTGGAAGAGGTTAACACCCCTGTGGTGTTTTCTTTGCTGTCTGTGCCCCTGTTCAGAAGATTTCATTGCACTTTCTGTCCCTGTTATAATCGGAGTTTGAAAAATTTGGTTTGTTTTGGAAACAAGGATTGGTGATAAGTTTTGATGGAGACACTTTTTCCCCATGATAGCTCTTCCAGGAGTGAAATTCCCTGCAGAGAGATAGATTTCTCTCACTTCCTGTTGTCTCATCCCTGTTCTTAACTATGAGTTGTTTGTAAGTCGGATGTGTGTAACTCGGGGATTGCCTGTGCAAATGATGACAGCATAAGCTGTTAGTATTCATCTCTGGCTTAAACAACAAATAAGATTAAATTGCTTAGTTGATTTAGTTTCTACCAATAACCTAGTCAATTATAGACACTAATATTTGCAAAAATTAGTAAGTTTATTGCTAATACTAATAGGTAATATTTGCAAATAATAGTAACAGTTTTAGTTTAATGAATACTCTAATAATGTTAGTATGTTTTCCTCAATTACTTATTTAAAGTTTGTTGCTCCCTTTTAAGCTCCCATTAATACTGAGACATGTGTTTATTTGTTCTTCTTGTGGCAGTGTATAAACAAAGAGGCCAGAGCTGAAAAAATCAATACAACGCTCAACTTACCTGACAAAACATTACAGTTTGTCAAAGACCATCCTCTGATGGATGACTCTGTAATGCCGATAGGAGACAGACCCAGACTGGTAAAGAGAGATGTGAAGTATACACAGATTGTGGTAGACCAAGTCCGAGCACTGAATGGCACTTTGTACGATGTCATGTTCATCAGTACAGGTGAGATTTTTATGCTTTGAAAATTTGATAATATCACACTAAGATCAGATAACTTTTTGGTGAGAATGAGCAATTGCTTGAACAATTGTCCTTGCTAGTAATGAAACTGATTCAAGGCATATAAGGTTTTGCAGCTGACGGACAGAGACTGACTTCCTGTACCAAATAACGGGATAGATTCTTGTAAAACACAGAGGCATACAATGGAGCACCCAAAGTTCAAAACCTTTTAGACTTTTAATGGCCTAGAAACTGATATTCTAAAGCATACTCAATTTCAGCAGAAGAAACATCCTGGAAAAGTTCCTTTCTTGCATCTTCCAGTGATGGTGTTGGCTGAGAAATCCTAGGAGTTGTAGCCCCTCAAAACTAACCAGGGTCTTATAAGAAGTGTTTCTCTTATGAGGTTCAGCAGCTTCATATAATCATAAATAGAGATTAAGATTGTGGCAGATTTAAGAGTGGAGATCCAGCCTGTGCTGGCTGTGGTTATTCTCTCTCTGAAATATCAGGTTTTTAGATTTGATGTACTTGCAGAGTCAGGCCTGAGTTTGGATGCCGAAGTATCCTCAATTTATTTAAAGTATGTTGTTCCCCTTTAATCTCCCATTAATAACAAGACATGTGTTTATTTGTCCTTCTTGTGGCAGTGTATAAACAAAGAGGCCAGAGTTGAAAAAATCAATAAAACACTCAGCACATTTGCAGAATTGAAACTAGTACACTGGGATATTGTTGTCTTGTAAAATAAGTATTTTTCTCTCAAATCAACATCAAATCATCTGATAGTTAACAAATTTGAGAGCAATAGCGAAACACCTTCCCTTTGGAGTAGCATAACAGGTGCCACATGCACCTGGTTGTGTTTGGCCAACCAGATCCAAATGTAGAATAGCCCTTGTCCTCTCTCAATAGCAGATTACCTGGAGGAGGGCAGATTTTTCTGACCAGGGGGCTTTTGAAATTTGACAAGAGGAATGCGTATGTCCCATTGTCTCAGCTAAGGAGTGTTTCCATGGAAGGAAAAGGAGTGTTTCCATGGAAACACTCCTTTTTATATGTCAGTTCCTAAAGTATTCCAGACAAAATGGCTGGCTTTTGAGAAAAGGCTGAAAGTATAAGGAAAAATTTGCTCTAGATACTGAGCAAAAACATAATGAAAAGCAAAAGAGGCACATAGTTGCTGAAATCAAATGGTAAGAAATCAGAAGTCACATCTGAAGACTCAAGTATAATCAGTGTTTTCTTTGAAAAATTACATATATGCGTTTGTGTTGTTTCAGATCGAGGAGCCCTTCACAAAGCAATCAGCTATGAAAATGGAATGCACATTATTGAAGAAATCCAACTCTTTCCTAACTTTGAACCCATTCAGACTTTGTTGCTTTCTTCAAAAAAAGTAAGGCTAACTGAGAGGAGGATGTGGGGATGTAATAGACATACACACATTTCAAAGCAGGAAAGAAGTAGTTGTTGACTTCGATTATGTCTGACGTGAGTTGTTGTGAAATGGATGTTCTTCACCAACCAATAAGCAGATTTGGAGCAACGTTTAGATTTCTTGAGATGCTGAGGAATCTTCTGGTTTAGCCCAGTGGCAGCTGTTTTTATTTGAGTACAGTTTCTATCAGTGCAACCTTTCTGAATTTAGAGAGCAACTACATATTCTGTTGTAAAGCACTTGCATTGCATACATTGTAAAAAGTTCTAGATTTAGTCCTTGGCATCTCCTGTTTAAAATGACCAGGTAATAGGGGCTGGTGAAGACATGTGTGAGAAACTGCAGAATTGCTGTCAATCAGAGTAGGTTAAGTGGACCAGTAATCAGATTTGGTGTGAAGCAGGTTCCTATGATACAAAGCCACTCGTAACTTAGGAAAATGATATTTTAGACCAATGCTTCTCAACCTGTGGGTTCCCAGGTGTTTTTGCCTACAACTCCCAGAAATCCCTGCCAGTTTACCAACTGTTAGGATTTCTGGGAGTTGAAGGCCAAAACATCTGGAGACCCAAAGGTTGAGAAGCACTGTTTTAGACCACATTACCTAGAATCCCCTAGTCAGCATATGCACTGGTTTTGGTTCTATCCCCTGCTTACATGACTGTTTTTTTAAAACATAAATGAGATTGTTTTCCAGGGAGTTTGCAAAGCTATAGCACATTCATACTTGAAAAATATTATTTTCTAAAAGGAAATAGTACTGAAAGAGCTGCCTTCTTTACAAGATAAAGGCTTGAATGACACCATGGGCTGTTCCCCAGTTGGGGAAGCATGATGTAGCATCAACAAGGAAGGGGGAGTGTAGTGAGGATGGCATAAAATTAGCTGCAGTGTACTGTATGAACCCTCCCAATAAGTTGAAAATTGTGCAGCCTTCCAAATGTTGAACTGCAGCTGTCAGTATTCCTTCCCATTGGTTATGCTGGCTAGAGCTTCTGGGATTTGCAGTCAAACACCATCTGGAGGACCATGTGATGCCAAACCTTTTTGCTCTAACTGGAACCACTAGCAAGAAGTGAGTTGCTGGTATTGCTTCTTAGTGTGAATATAGTCACAGTTTGTATTAGCTTTAAACAATTTCATGTCAAAAGCATTGCATAAAATAAGTTTAAAACTGATAAAATAAAGGATTCACAAGCAGCTAAATAGTTTTATACAAAAAAATGGGCAACAGCAACTGCATTGTCTGCAGCTTTAAACAGTCCTTCCTCTGGGCATTGTGGGCAAGCATACAATGTGGAGTTGTTTGTTCTGCTCCACAGTTGCACAAGGTGGAGGATTCTTTTAGGTAATTTTTTTGCCAGGTTGTCTTTTGATCTACCCACTCAACTCCTGAGTCTGTCCAGGAACTTCCAAATTGCCCATTCTTGGTTTGCCCTGGAGAAAGACTTGGGGGAGGGGGGGGGCATCCAGTTGGAATTGCCTGATTTTGCTGCCCAGAGGGATACTCTTGCTGTTGCTGAAGGAACATTTAGAGGAGTGATGGTTGTCATAAAGCTTTTCCTTGATTGAAGTCTACTGGGAGGAGGTTGGTAGCCATACAGTAGGTGGCTTTCACGGTGTTCAACCTTATTTCTCTCACAATTGACATCACACATCAGGGAGGAAATGCCAGCTGGCTTATAGAGTCTATCAACAGGGGTAGGTTTAAGACATCCTGTGATTATTCTGCATGTCTCATTCAGTGCTGTATTCACCTGCTTCGTGTGAGCAGATTTATGCCAAATTATTACAACCAATAAGAGACAACATTAAAATTTTGTAAATCGAGGCAACATTATTCCAATATATCTTCAGAGCAACCCAGTCTAGTTGTTTGTGATAAGCTTATACCTGTCCTCTCTCTTCTGTTGAGATGAAGCCTGTAGTTCTAATCTGGGAACAACATAGATAAAAGAGAAAGCAGAATTTCTTGTGCTGCCTTTCCATATACCAGGAGATAACACAATAGGCTTTTAATCACCACAGACACACCTGCTTTCCATCTGTACCCACCTTCTGCAGATGACATTGTGTGGAAGCGGAGCACACACCTTCTCTTTGTACTCCTTTAGGAAGAAAGGGGAATTTCCCTCTCCTCATTTAACAAAGCAGACAAAAAGAGAAAGCATTGCACATTTTCCAATAAAGTCTTGTTCAGATAAATGGGAATTAACTTTATAGAAAGAAATAAACAACTAGATAGATAGATAGATAGATAGATAGATAGATAGATAGGGGATATGTGGTACAGTTGCTACTAGGCAACATGGCAACAAATAATAAGCATGTCTGGAACCTAAAGCGTGTAAAAAAAAGTTGCCATCCTTTTGACCATTTTCACATTCCATTTCCCTCCCTTCTACTTTCTATAGGGCAAGCAGTATCTCTATGCTGGATCCAATGCAGGAGTTGTCCAGTCTTCTGTTGCATTTTGTGAGAAGTATAGCTCTTGTGTGGACTGTGTTCTGGCAAGAGATCCATACTGTGCTTGGAATCCCCAGGCCTCCTCTTGTGTGGATATCTTCAAAGAAAGTGAGACTGAGAGGTAAGATCCAAGCAGATAAAGTGAGGAGTTAAATAATTACATACATGTGTATCGTTCAGGTTGCAAATCCAGCATTCTGGGAATCTCGAGACAGGATTAGGAAGGGGATTTAGAATTCCCAGTTAGTGAACTCTAGTTCCAAACTCCAAGCCCCCAATTCCATAGGGATGCAGTCATGGCAGTTAAACTGGGATCATATAGTTATGTGTGTAGTGTGAAAGTTCCCCTGTTTTTGTTTTTAAATGATGTCACCCTGTGCAGGGGTGACTGCAACCTATTTTGCTGCTTCTGGTGACATCCAGTAGAGACAGTTCACCCCCTTTTTATAGCCTGAAGAAGGGGAGTCTAGTTGGCTGAGGACCATAAACATCCATTTGACTTCAGAGCCATAATTTGCTCAGCCCTGTTCTTGAGGCTATCAAAAGAAACCTTTTGGCCTAGGGGCAATCTCTGGCAAAATCTGAAAAGACATGGGGAAGATGAGGAAGAGGTTTCCCAAAAAGGAAGTGCTATCGAGTTGAATGGGGTTTGCTCCAAAGTGGGAAGATACAGACTTGTGATGTTACTCTCACTAGCACAGGAGGTAATGAAATTAAGGACTCGTGTAACGACTCTTAGTTTACGTAATTTATGATTTTCACAGGTTTTCTTAGCTTAGAATTGTGGGCTGACAAGTAAATAGTCTGTTTTACATTGTTCTCTCCTCCTGAAACATGCAAACCATTGGCTGTGTTTCTACATTGCAATGAACGGTATTTGTTCATGACAGAAAAGTGTGTTATAATTTTTCAGGACTTATGTGTTTCCCTAGCCAACTCCAGTGCAGCCACTCACAATGACTGTGCTTTTTATATATTTCATGCTCTATTTGAGAAACAGATTGAGAGAACATGTTGCCCAGATTAGAGTGCACTTCTTAGATGCATATCTAACATCTAGTTAGGTTAGTTTGTACCACACTAACCTGCCTTGTTATTTCAAAACCATCTATAATATCCTTAATTATATCAATTATATCTTCACATTACATACCAGTATGGCAAGATATACTATCTTCATAATTATTGCTTACTGTTCATTTTGTGTTGTTTTTTCCCTGTAGTTGTTTCATAATTTGTAGCTTATCTACCTACCAAAGCACTAGAAGGCATATAAAAAAGCAAACTACAGGCAGTCCCCGAGTTACAAACATCTGACTTACAAATGCCTCTTAGTTAAGAACGGGGGTGAGTCAACAGGAAGTGAGAGAAATATCTACTTCTAGGAAGGGAAATCCCCTCTTGAAAGAGTTATCATGGGGAAAAGGTGTCTTCATTGAAGTTTTACCACCAATCTTTGTTTCCCCAACAAGCCAAAACATTCAAAATCCAGTTATCACAAAGACAGAAAGTGCAATGAAATCTTCTGAAAAGGGGTACAGACAACAAAACAAACACCACAGGAGAGTTAACCCTTTCCCATGCTGTTGAAAGCTGGAGATTTTTGTTTGAGCCAGATGGAAAGGTGTGGGAACAAGGGTGAGATGAAAATTGCAGGACTATAAACTATTTTGTTTACTAGAGGTTACAGCACTGACCACCTATGGGAGAACTGCAAAGGAGAAAAGGCGTGGGAACTAGTCTGCTTCAGTCTATGTTCATGGTTCAGAATATTAGAACTTGAAAAAGATGTGTAAAAAGATAGACCTCTTCCAATTTCCCAGCCATTTTGGCTAGCATGAGCCATAGTTACCCAAAGTTGAAGAGATCTAAAAAAAAACACACACACACACATGATTATTATGTATAGTCCGCTTACTTGCTTTTCTTTACTTTGAACTTTACTTTGACAGTGAGACAGAAAGGAGAAATATCTCTGCTGATTGTGTTTGCCAGGATTTAAGTCCTTAAGGAGTCGAATTCTGTCCTGTAAAGCATTAACTATGCATATTAATACTAAGTCATTCCTGTCACTTTTAGATTATAGTTCTTCCTTTTTCCAAGTTCTAGTTGACAGAACTAGGAATTATAAAAATGGAGAATAATGAAGATAAAAGTATAGAATACAGGAGTTCAAAATGAAATGAAAAAGGAGAAAGTGTTAACTTTTTTTAACAGGTGCTTTGGAAATTACAAATTATGTCCAAAACACTAGCTCCAAAACAACATGAAAAGTAATAGTTGAGATATATGAGACAACAATACCTTTGGAGACTGGCTGGAGAAGGCCTGAACCTGGGTGAAAGAGTCACATGTAGAAGCTTTTTACTGTCAAATTTCTCATCCTTTGTTAGGCTTTGGTTGTTCCAGGCCTTCAGAACAGGAAGCAGAGGGACATCATATATGTACATTGCTTGGCTTCAGGCATTTCAGAGTTTTGCTGTTCATAAATACTTGGAAGGCAGAGCTTAGAAAAGTTATGTATTTTGAACTACAAGCCTGGCTACAATGTTAGTTGGAGAACTTTGGGAGTTATAGCTCAAACGTCCTTTTAAAAACCTCTATTAGTGTTGAAGGTCCTGTCTGGAAGCCTTCTGACGGCCCTCAAGGATTTTGATGGCAAGGTCAAGCCGTTGCAGGCACAGGCGGGTGGCTGTGAACAGTTTGAGCAAATCTTGTCATCCTCTTTTTTTAGAGTGCCCTGACATTTTTCCAGCATGCATTCATTGTCATTTTCCTACACGAGCAGACAAATCACCAGCAATACCACAGTGATTTGTCTTCCTTCACGGAAAACTCACTATAGCTGTAAGCCATTAATTAGACTTCTGGGCTGTCTCTCCAATCCAGACTCATTATTTTGCTTTCCTCTATGAGCTCAGACCTTAAAATCAGTATGAGAAATTGACATGTCTAAAAATATTCCTATTAAATGATTTTAAAGCAAATGTTACCTAGCTCTTAAAATTTGCAGAGAAATGAACATCAGTTCAGACAATTTTGCTGCTGGTTTTCATGGTAACTGGTTCCAAAGATCTGTGGTAATTCCTGGTTTGCTGAACATCAACTATCCAAAATTTCATCACACTTTTAAAACTTAGTTTGAATTATTGATCTTTCAAGTATGGAGAAGGGAGTTTTAGGGCCTGGAATCCTTGCCAAAATATCAGACCCTTTCTCCAAAAAAACTTGGAAATGTAGAAAAAAGTTTCCCCATAAGCCTCTCTCTGCCTACTTTTGGTTTAAAGCAGAGGTTCTTAATCTGTGAGTCTCCAAGCCTACAACTCCCAGAAATCCCAGCCAGTTTACCAGGTGTTAGGATTTCTGGGAGTTGAAGGCCAAAACATCTGGGGACCCACAGGTTGAGAACCACTGGTTTAAAGGAAGGTTGTCACATGTATTTCTTCTTTCCCTTCCTATTCTATCACTTGCACAAATGCAGTGGTCGTCAACCAGCGTTGATTTTGTGTACTATTAGAGGAAATAATATTGTTGGTGGGTGGTGTAGGATAAATTAATACATAGCTAGACTGTGACAAGCAGATTGAATCCTTGCTTGTTTTCTTATTGTTTTTAGGGACTGGATTCAGAACATCAGTGGAGATGCCTCCTCTTGCACAGGTAAGCTTTTTTGTTCTTTAAAGAGGCTTAATAACGATAATATAAATGTCTTAGACATTTTGTAATAAGGACATCTCAATTCCTTTACATAGAGCTTTGTTATGTCCATTCAGTATTAACTTTTTGTTAGAATAAGATGTTTGTGATTTTTTCCTTTATTTTTTTCCTGCTATATATTGTTCATGTACTTTAGCATGGGAGAGCTCACAAGTTCGGCAACATTCAGTTAAGATATGTAGTAACTGTATAAGGAGCTGCTATTATTCATACAATCATAGCAACTCAACAAAAAGCAGCCCAATTGTACAAATTATGTTTCCAAATTCTGTTCAAATCATGGCAGATATAAGACATAGTGCCCATGTGGTTCTTAGAAAGTGCCGATTCTTGAACTCTGCCAAGGATAGCCCTTATGAACCCAAGTCTTGGAAATGAATCAACCTGTATGTGAATGTAAAGATGGCAAATATTCTTCTACCTCAATTCATTAAACAGAATAACATAATTTGTATCATAATTACTGAGAGAAATAGTTCTTAGAATGGTCAATTGAAAAACAGTGTCTTTGCCTTGACTTGGGATTTCTAAAATCAGCATCAATGTGTAATGTGATTTAACCAATTGAAAATAAAGCAGATTCTTTGAGAGATCGTATGCATTCAGATAGAACAAATGCAGTATATCCAGGGATGATGCTTCAGAGGCAAATGTTAGTTTTCCTTTTTGTACAGTCTTACTAGTGTCAATATGTTGAGGCAAACTACAGTGTAATGTGGTAGAAATCCCAAATTTTGTTTCTAAGCGTCTTGCACAAATGCTGAGCTTGTTGTGATCACACACTAAACTACTATGCAGGCAATCCCCGAGTTACAACAACATATTTTGTTGGAAACTGCCCTGAGTCCCCCTGGGGAGAGAGGGCAGGTTATAAACAAAGTATTATTATTATTATTATTATTATTATTATTATTATTATTATTCTGTAGGTTTGTTCTCAAGTTGAATTTAATGTAAGTTAGAACATGTACATATTTAAGGGTAACTCCAGCCATTTTTTTAGTTTTAGTTAGCAAGGGATAGGTGAACAACCCTGTGGTGTTTGTTTTGCATCCTGTACCTCTGTTCAGAAGGTTTAACCTCACTTCTGTCCCTATGACCATTGGATTTTGAAATTGTTGGGCTGCATGGAAACATTAGTGATCAAGCTTCCGTGGAGAAACTTTTTCCCATGACAACTCTTACAGGAGTTAATTTCTCTTCCTAGGGGTAGATTTCCTCTCACTTTTTGTTGTGTCACCCCTGTTTGTAACCAAGAGCTGTATGTTTGTAACTCAGGGACTACCTGTATAGCAGTTCTCCTCAACTTTTCCTTGCAAAAGTTACTTTTTTGGGTTACAGCTACAGATTATGACATTGGAAGGGCTGTAGTTCTCAGAAGTAATTTTTGAAAGACAAAGTCCTTTGTTAAACTGGATTCTACACAGCACAGAGTGTAGTGTTGTGCAATGCATGTGTGCACTGATGTTATTGCCCTATTGGGCTATACATTTACTAATGTTTGTAGGGCCAGAAGTGTTAAATCACCTCCTTCTAATTTTACAATTCTGTGGTGTGTTGGTTTTTTTTTGGGGGGGGGAGGGCGGTTGGTAGTCGTGTTAAGGTATAAAATGATGGCTCGGAGAAGATATATTTTGGATTCTTAATGTCCCATGAAATAATGTATTTCATTTTCCCTCTCTCCCTACTTTGTTTTTTCTAGTCTATGCATGGGTGTGTTCATTTTATCAGGAGGAATTTGTCATTTTATTAGGAGGAATTTGTGTGGCTGTCTTTCTTTCTAAGGACTGTCATAATACTTAAAGCTTAGTGTAGCCTTCATATGTTACTGGGGTTTTCCCTGCACACTAACCCTTTCTGATAAGTTTACACATTTCTTTTTCTCCACTTTTTTCTTTAAATATCACAGTTTAGCTTGTCCCCATAGATATTTGTGTGGGAAGTTTACGGTTTCGTCCTAGCCCAAGTACCAGTTGAAAGTGCTACCTTGTGATATGCATCTGCACTGCCAGATTGAAATCTGAACTGGCAAAAGTAATCTATTACAAAGGGTGATTTTTCAGTGATCCCTTCAGCAGTTTCCTTTGCAATTTACCGACATTAATAAAAAATGGTAGCAGGCAAAATGGCATACCACTTTTAAATATAGTTGTCAAGCTAACTGATGTCTGATTGTGAGCTAGATGTTTTTCTGCATAGCTGAACTGGCCTCCCAGGCAATTTTTAAAAACTCAGTTCTGATCTCGTACACATTTATTTTGCTGTTCCAGATAAAGTCAGAGAGCATTCTCTGCAGCATACTTTCAAGCATGGGAGCACTGCAGAGCTGAAATGTTCTCAGAAGTCCAACCTGGCCCAAGTGGTTTGGAAATTCAAGGACGATGTCTTAAAGGTGGAAAGTCCCAAGTACCGTCTTCTGGAGAAAGCTCTGCTCATCTTCAATTTGTCCGAGGGAGACAGTGGTGTGTATCAGTGCCTGTCGGAAGAAGAAGTAAAGAACCAGAAGTTCTCCCAGGTGTTAGCTAAACATGTTTTGGAACTGAAAAAAATCCAGCAGACCACTCTGAGCCCAACCCCACCAACCATTCGGACTGAAGGTAACGGAGAAGCGCTCAAAGCATCAGTAATAGCTACCCAGGGGTCCGCTGGTCACACTTCAACCACTCCAATTGTATCCATTGCAACATCCAGGATAGTCACAAATCACGTTGTCCCTGACTTAATGAGCACTGTCTCTGATATTGAACATTCAAATTCACTTGCCGAGGTCCCTGAAAAGACCCTCTTCCTGAAGGCGAATGATAATTCGCTTTTGATGTTTCTTTTTCTCCTCTTTTTTGTGCTCTTCTTGTGTCTGTTTGCCTATAACTGTTACAATGGGTTCTTGCCAGACATGTGTTTGAAATTTCGCTCGGCTATGTTACTTGGGAAGAAGAAACCCAAGGCAGATTTTTCTGATTGTGAGCAAAGCGTGAAGGAGACACTGGTGGAGCCAGGCAGCCTCATGACCCAAAGTGGGGACCATACCAAGCCAGCGCATGATACAGGCTATGAGACGGAAGCAGACTATGGAAATGGCCACGTCCAACATGATGAGGAACATTCACATTCCTACAAAGAAATGAAGGACAAACCTTTTGATGTGAAATGTGAATTGAAATTTGCTGACTCGGACGCTGAGGGTGATTAAAGGAGAAATTCCTCAACTTCTTTAATGAAAGTACTGTTATTCCAGATTGTCTATTTTTGAGCACATTCACTTTTTGATGTGATGACTGGGTCAGAAAGGGCTACAAGGTCTCATTTTTACTGGTGACACATTGTCAGTTCACAAAGCAGACAATTTTGCATTCTGTTACATTTTTATTTTTTATGTTTTTGTCTTTTTTTCTTTCATTTTAAATGGCCAGTTATGATTTCACATGGTGAATTTCTCCACTCCCACTCACTCACCCATTGCCACATTTGCAGGATGATTTAACACTCGCACATACTATTTGAATTAATTTCTCTTTTTTCATAGAAGGTAAAAAGTAACTTTTTTTTAATGCAGAGCCATGCCAAAAAGGATTTAAGTAGCTCAAGGCTGTGCATACTTAACTGCCATTAAAATCTAATTTCAGTTTAATTCCAAATTGGAAATGATATTTAGTTTATCAGATTGGTAAATGATAGCCTTTTTGTCCAGATTGAGACATTTCTTTGCAACTAGTGATTTCTAATGCTTATGTAAATGCAGTAGTTGTATTTTGTCTGGTAAGTTTTATTGGTGAAGGAAATGTTGGGTTTAAAAAAAACAAATTGTTAGTGTACCTTATTAGACTATGGTGTATATTGGGACAAATCTGGCTAGGTTTGCTTAAGGTTCTCAGGGATATGCTTTGGTTAAATGCTTTTTCTTCCTTTCTAGAGCTGTCAAGGTGGTAATCACTTTTTGAGTGCTTAATTTTTTTTTTGTTGTTTTTTTATTGTGAGAGACTTCATTTTAGTAAAGAGATATTTTTAAAATGAAATTGGAAACTGCCACATTAATTGGGTTTTATAAGGTTTTTAAAAAGCGGATTATTGTAAGTAAACAGTAGTCACCGAAACACTTCATTGTGAGAAGCATATGTCTTCTGGATGCAATGCAGAACTTGGCAAGTGTTTTCCCGGGCATCCTGAAAGAGATTGCTTGAGGATGTGATCTATTTTTCAGCTTCTTTCACTATTGGAAAGCAGTCAGATCTGCCCACCTTCCACCACAAATAGCCAGCCTTGCCAACTATTTTCACATTTTCTTCACAACATCCTCTAATGTTTTTAAAAAGCAACCGGAGCTAAAACAAATAGATGAGAACTATCCTGGTATTGGACCACATGCTCTCTTTTGGAACTCTATACTCAATGTAGTTCACAACAGCACTATTTTGTTTGTAAAGTTCCTTTGTGCTGTACAGTTTTAATACTTGTTCTCTCACTGTCTTGTGTCTCTCCTGTGCTCTATGTCAGAAATACAAGGTTTAGAAACAGGCGGGATTTTGTTGTTGTGTAGGCGGTATGTCCTGAGATTCCTTTTTCTTAATTTCTGTTGAAATCTTCGCCAACCCACCCGACAGAATTAGTGCTGACAGTTTTCTATTTTGTATGATTAATTTTGCTTTTATTTTTCTATTTTTAATTTTGACTGTTTGTGTAAATATATATATAAATATATGAAAAATGATTAAATAAATATTGAAAGTAATTGTATTCCATCCTTATTACTGCTCAGTTTGACAACTTTGTAGACTAAGGCGTTTAGTCACCTCTTTGGTGACTTGCATTAAATGGAGCAGGTATCATTTTTCTGCTTTGATAATAGCGATAAGAGGGAGATGATAGTTTTCTTCTTATTAAAGTTCACTATTTCCTCTTTTTTTATTTCCTCCTTTGCACATTATTTCTTTGATACGTGAAGTGTTTCTTACTACCTTTTCCTTAGTGCCCTCTTCTTCTTCTCCTCTTCCTGCACCTTCTTTCCTCCTTCCCTTCCTGTCCCTTTCTGTCACAGCTTCATCTTCTGTAGTTTTTCCATCCACTGGTACGTCCTCTTTGTCCTGTGTCGGAAGTGCTCCATCTCCTTCACCCACCAGTCCTCAGCCTGATATTTGGTCTAGCACAGATTTTGCCACAGTCATGTTGATGCCGCCTTTCTTAAGGGACCAGGTCCAGCATGTGAATGCCCATAGCACCTTCCTCCTCTTCTGTCAAGCCACAGGTAAGTCAGAAGATCATCGCTCCACTGGTCACTCTCATGCTTCTGGTTGTATTCACCAAACATTGGCTCCATTTCTGTTGCACACTGTCCTAAGGACTTACGTAGGCAGGGCAATTCGGAGAGTTTACAAAGTTGCATGGAATAAAATTGATAAAGCATGGGAAACATTAGAAAAAATCTCAACACAAAATGCTTAAATAGGATATGCCTAAAGCTCTTTCAGAAAAACGATAAGGCATTAATATCCCGGCCAAAGTCTTCAACCAAATCTCTGCCACTACCTCCCAAATTGACTTATTTAACTAAGGTTGCAGGAGATATCCCATTAGACTTGGAAATTAAAAATACAAAACACATATGCAAATGGAGAGGGGAGGGAAGAATTACAGATGGGGGGAAACTGACTTCTTCAGCTCCAGAACAAAGTAACACTATTTCTATCCAGTTCCAGCTGCTCTTCCTTAACTCATGTTCTTTTTGTTATATGGTGGTTGATAACTCTTTATTCCTTGGACCAATAGACAAAGTGTTTGTTTGGCCTTGGAGAAACTAAGTGTTGCTTTTGAGAGAGAAAGGAAGGTGGAACCATGCTCCAAGAATAGATGGCTTCTTTGAACTCTGTAAGGCAGTGGTTCTCACCTTCCTTTAATACAGTTCCTCATGTAGTGGTGACCCCCAACCATAAAATTATTTTCTTTGCTACTTCATAACTGTAATTTTTGTGCCAAGTTTGGCCCAGATCCATCGAGTCCACAGTACTGTCTGGATGTAGGTGAACTTCAGCTCCAAAACTCAAGGTCAATGCCCACCAAAGCCTTCCAGTATTTTCTGTTGGTCATAGGAGTTCTGCGTGCCAAGTTTGGTTCAATTCCATCATTGTTAACTTACAATCAAAAGAGCATTCCAAACTCCACCAATGATGGAATTGAACCAAACTTGGCACGCAGAACTCCTATGACCAACAGAAAATACTGGAAGGCTTTGGTGGGCATTGACCTTGAGTTTTGGAGCTGAAGTTCACCTACATCCAGACAGTACTGTGGACTCGATGGATCTGGGCCAAACTTGGCACAAATATTCAATATGCTCAAATGTGAACACTGGTGGGGTTTTGACATTTGGGAGTTGTAGTTACTGGCATTTATAGTTCACCAACAATCAAAGAGCATTCTGAACCCCACCAACGATAGAATTGGGCCAAACTTCCCACACAGAACCCCCATGACCAACAGAAAATACTTTTTTTCCTGATGGTCTTTGGCGACCCCTTTGACATCCTCTCTTAACCCCCCCAGGGGTCCCGACCTCCAGGTTGAGAAATGCTGCTGTAGAGTATAGAAATCAGCAATTGGATTAGTAATAGGGCAACAGTGATTTTAAAAAAGGGTTCTCTTATCTCTTTGAAGTCTAATTTTATGTTTATATGTGTAGACATAGACCATTTAGGCTAATCTAGTTAAATAAAAACATTTTCTGTCCCTTCTATGTGTCCTAAATGTTGTTGTAATGTTTAATTCTTTGCTGAACATTAATTTCTAGCGTACTCTGATGGTCTGTGTAGATCTTCAAACTGTACAGAATAATTTATGTGTTCTCCTAGTGCTGGATGTGCATTTTCTAATCAGGGCAAAGGGCTTAGCATTGTAAGTACATTGTAAGAACTGTCTGTGTGGCCACTTAATGCATTATGGGATTTAATATAGCTAAAGGGTCAGGTGCTACCCTCCAAGTTATCAAACTAATTAGATTCCAAAAATAACACTGCTCAGGACTGCCAACTTCCTCCTGTACATGTGCATTATCGGTGACTCATTCCTGGAAGAATCAGAGCAATTTGGAAAATACAAATCCCGTAGTCCTCATCCGAAGTGACTAATGGTCATTTTGGCTAGAGGATTCTGGGCACTGAAGCTCACAGTGGGGGGAGACACAAGGGAAAACAGTCTTATTGGGATGCTTTTGGAATTACACTAGTTGTATGTTTTGTTCTTGGTGGCTTATTTATTATTTATTTAAACGATATTTCCATCCCACCTTTCTCAAGCCTGAAGGCGACTCAAGGCGGCTTTACAACATAGGCAGCTATTCAGTGCCATAACCATATACAGTATAAAATATGGAACATTTAAACCATTAATAAAATCATACAATAAAAACCATTAAAACATATAAAACCAATGCCTTTACTGTTCATCTCATCAAAAAAAATCATCTGAGCCGTTCCAATTCAGTTCCTTATAAATCCATGTCTGTCTATAGCACTGCATTCCAAAGGCTTGTTCAAAAAGCCAGGTTTTTACTTTCCTCTGGAAGGTCAGGAGGGAGAGAGCTGATCTAATATTCCTTGGGAGGGAGCTCCACAGCCGAGGGGCTACCACTGAGAAGGTCCTGTCCCCTTTCCCCACCAAGTGTGACTGCGATCTTAAGCTCCTAGAAGGTTCATAAGGAGAGATACGTTCGGACAGGTAAGCTGGGCCAGAACCGTTTACGGCTTTATAGGCTAAAACCAGCACTTTGAATTGTGGCTTCATTTTACCATAGAAATTCATAATGTAATCCAGTTGCAAATTTGGAAATTTGTTAGAAAAATGGTATTTCTACCACAAGAGTATAGTTCAGAAAAGTTTGTGCTAGACATTTATTTCTTCCAGAGAGTCTCTCGGAGGTACTGCTGCATGTCTTTGTCTTTTTACACTAAAGTGAACTTACGTGGCTAGTTCGTTCAATACTCCTAGTATTTCCCATTCTGCTTGCCAGCACAGTTTTTCACCTGTAAATTACAGTATCTGGAGAATTCCCATAATGCCTTACAAGAGAAGATCTGCCCTATATGTCATAAAATGCACTTCCCACACGGTGAGAGAGCTGTTCACTCCAACCTTAAGCTATCTACTATGTTTGATATATTGTACTTCTTGGCACTAGCCTGCTTTCCCGAGGTTTCTTGGACTACACTTCCCATCATTTTTACCAGCTGGTTGGCAATGGAAGACGCTGAGTTGGAAAATATTTGTGCAGGCTAATGCTAGATCCTATTTCCAGCTCTATTATGCTATTATTTTATTTTCCTGGGATGATGTTGTTATACTTCCTGCTGCCTCTCCCTTTTGCTTCTCCTGATGTTTCAATGTCTTTGTTATCCTTTCAGAGATGTAGCTGATTCTTTATCACTTTCAATAAGGCCTCATTTAGAAGAAAAACAACCAAGATTATCTTGCTCCATTATCTGAATTTCATAACTGATAATTACAAAATTCTTCTCCAAGCATAGGTATTATTCAGTCCTGTTTTAAACAAACACGACTTTGGAAGTGCATCAAGGATCTGTTGGCAGCTTCCAAGTGCTTTCTGCACCTTTCTGTTTTGCTCACAGAGGTTGTGGGCCAGTGATGGTACTTTTACACACACTATATCTACATTTGTCCAGAAAGTCATATTTGATGACAGCCAGTTCTACCTGCATGCATGTGTCTACCTGCAAATCTAAACTTGTTCATAGATTCTTGCTCCATAAAATTCCTTTGTGTTGTGTAATCAAAACTATATTTAAAATAGATATGATCAGAAATGTCAATGTGACATGTGTGAGTGTAATTCCACCATATATTTCCACATGAATGGGGGGGGGTGTCATTGCAAAGATTGGTACATATTTTCTCCTTTTGCAACAACCAACATATACACATCCAGCATTCACTGTGTTGCTGCAGTAGCTGCCAGTGATCATTCAATTGTCAATGGAGATAAAGGGGATTAGAGAAACAATGACTATGAGAACATAATCTGACACAGATTTCTGACAGCATCCATTGAGATCCACAGAGTATCCTGCAAGACGTTGGCAGAAGTTGTCCTTGGTCTTCAGACATTTCTCCAATACTCCCCTCCACTCCAGAATGGCTGTTGAATTCCACTATTGCAGAAATTTGATGACTCTTGGGATTGGTAACAGGAGCCATAGCAGATTTCTCCATGCAGAACTCTTATGCTATGTGTTACCATACAAGATATTTACATCTTTTAAACCTTCTGTCTTTTACATCCTGAATCCAATCAGACACCAGTGAGCTTAACTGATAATGTCAGAGTTGAAAAATGGGGTATGTATTTATTTATAAATAAAAGTTGGAATCCTGTTGGGATGCCACATTTACATAAGCAGATTTACGTCTGAATTTGTATATCTATATATAGTAGCAGTCTTCTGTTGTGTTAACTACACAGAGCAAACAAAGTGCCCAATGCAAGTGGGCTTATGTAAATCACCTGAAGGGCAATTCAATTTTGGTATCTGAGTTTCGTTGGATACCCAGATCCGTTTTCAGGAGCCTCCTGAAAATTGTCTAATGGAAAAATCTGTATTTGACTAGGCACCTGAAAGATCTGGGAAGTTCCGGCCCATTGGTGGGAATGGGGAACTTACAAGGCTCCCCTTTCCATTCCTGGGATCCTTTCTTTCATTCAAGGGGGGCTGAGTTTGAGGAACG